ATTAGATGATTTGCCTGAGTGTAAAAAATCTGTGAAAACTCTATTGATTACAGAAGTCAATTCATTCTTCCCTTTTGAGAAATTTTCGAATCTTCAAAAAATGAAAAGAGTTGTTGCATATATCATCAGATTTGTAAATAGTTGTAGAGGAAATAAATCAAAGGAAATACATGTTTTTACTGTTGAGGAATTGAGTAGAGCATATAAATTTCTGTTTAAATGGTCTCAAGAAAAATCATTTCCAAATGAGTTGAAAGTACTCAAGCAAAATAAAGTTATTGATAAGGGAAAATTAATAAAGTTAAGTCCATTTTTAGGTGATGATGGATTATTGCGGGTTGGCGGTCGTTTACAATTGTCTAATTTTCCTTATGAAAAGAAACATCCTGTAGTATTAAGCTCAGATCATGATTTAACGAAAGTGATTTTTAGATATGAACATGAAAGACTTTGTCATGCTGGTCCTCAGATGTTACTGTCAGCTATTCGAGAGAATGTATGGCCGCTGCGGGGTAGAAATATGGCTAGAAAAACAGTACATAGTTGTATAAGGTGTTTCAGACTAAATCCGAGACAAGGTTCGCAAATAATGGGGTTTCTACCTGCAGATCGAGTCACACCACAGCCAGCATTTTTTGTAACTGGGGTTGATTACGCAGGACCATTCTTTATCAAAAATCATTCAGGACGCGGTTGTAAAATAACTAAGTGTTATTTGTGTTTATTCGTATGTTTCTCTACACGAGCTATACATTTAGAAATCGTTTCAGATTTAACTACGGAAGCATTCATAGCAACGTTTCGCAGGTTTACTGCTAGACGAGGCAAACCTCAAAGGGTGTATTCGGACAATGGGTCAAATTTTGTTGGGGCAAAGAATGAACTGCTAGAATTGGGTAAATTTTTGCAAGGTCAGGAAGAAGCTTTGAAATGTTTGTTTTCAAATGAAAATGTGTCGTGGCACTTTATCCCATCGCATGCACCTCACTTTGGGGGACTTTGGGAGGCAGGGGTTAAATCTTCCAAATTCCATATGAAGCGTGTATTATTAGATAGCAAACTAACATATGAAGACTTAACAACTGTAGTCACTCAGATAGAATCTGTACTCAATTCCCGTCCTTTGACCCCCCTATCCTCCGACCCAGCCGACATGGAAGTTTTGACACCAGCCCATTTCCTGATTGGGCGGTCTTTGATCTCACTTCCGGATCCAGATATGCGAGATATTAAGGAAAATCGCTTATCTAAATACCAACGGCTACAACAGCTACAACAGTCGTTTTGGCATCGTTGGTCAAAAGACTACGTCGCAGAGCTTCAACAACGGGTCAAGTGGCATACCACCAAAGATGCGCTGCAGCTCAATACCTTGGTGTTGATCAGGGAAGACAATCAACCTCCACTGCGTTGGTTATTAGGCCGAGTGCAGCAGCTCCATCCCGGTCCCGATGGTGTAGCAAGGGTTGCTACCATCAAAACACATAAGGGAGTGATAAAAAGGGCATTATCCAAGCTTTGTCCTTTACCCCTAGAAGAAGAGGCAGGCGCCGCAGTGTCAGAAAGTGTTGAACAATAGTTTTGCTATTAGATTGACATTATTTATGGACTTGTTTCAATCGCACTATATATATCTGTTTCATGTTGAAAGGGACCCTTCCAAGGCGGGGGGCATGTTAATGCATAAACTCAGAATATTATTTGTTGTCGTTCGCCCTTAAGCATTGTAGCATGTAGTCTACCCTTTAGCGTAACGTCAACCCACCCGTTTTCAAAATTCTCCGCCTGGTGTCGGGCATACAGTGGAGAGACGCTTCGAAGACACAGAACGAACCAGACGTGTTAGTTGTTGTTGTAATAAACACATGAGTAGGAACGTATTGTTTTATTCAACAACCAGTGTAATTTGGCGATTCGGATCCGAAGATGTGTACACACACCGTGTGTATTTTGTATCGGTTACGATGCGGGTTTTGGATGTGGGCCAAGAGCATTGAGCGAGGAGAATTTTTTTTTGACTGGATGTTGTATCGCAACATTAGGGGATATTGGCAAATTTAGGAAGCGATAAGGTCAATGTAACATTGAACTGGAAATTTGAATAATCGAAAAATGCAGTCCTGGAGTTTTGTACAGGGTGTTTTTAGCTCCACCGACCACCACGTTGTTTCAGATGGTGTGACAGTCCCTCAAAAAAATAGGCCTCTAAAAGTGATTTTTCGTTTGATATTTTCAACATATCAACCAAAGTTGGAACAATCAATAAGAGTTTCTTGCTTGTTTCAAGGGTATTATAAGGAAACAAGTTTTGTGGGCCTTGCACCTTGCAAAATATAAAAAATGTATTTTAATTTCTCAGATAATTCATGATCGCATCATCATTGGTCAAAACTAATAAAGGTGCATTATCGTAAGCCACCTTGAATCCAAAGTGTTAGTTGATTTCCAACTGTCATTCCTTATAAATTATTGAAAAAGTAGTAGATCAGACATTACATAAAAATTAATTAATAACTGAACATGTAAATCATAAAATTCACCTTGATGCATAAAAAAACATATTTATATCAAAATGAATAAAGATGTCTATAAGATTATCTCAGTTATTATTAAGAAACCGATTTATTTTCAAAAATTTATCACTGTGTATCTTGAAAGTTAAGTCTTTCAGAACATACGTTCATAGAAATGTTTCTTCTTAAAATGAGTCGAACAAATGCCCCCTTAAATATTAGCATTTTTTAAGGAACACCCTGTATATTCAGTAACTCTCGCACGTTTTTTTTTCACTTCTTCGGCGAGTTCATCCCTCGTACGAACGCGATGCCATTTGTCAACGTTAAATATCTCTTCTCGGCGGTCTTTATCATAAAAAAAACGACGCCGTCCCGGCCAACCATAATTCAGTGTCGGTTTTCCATATCAGAACCGCGGAACGGAAAAACCGCCACCGCTACATTTCCCCGACATTTTCTCGACAGATTTTGCTTTTCGGCTCGCACGAATTTATATATGGACTAGCATCCACGTAGCGATGATTGATTTTCTTTCTCGCGAGGCATACACGAAAAAACAAACAGCTTTTTCGGAAAAATTAATATCTCACATAGTTTTTCGAATGTCTGTCTGTCTGTCTGTCTGTCTGTCTGTCTGTCTGTCTGTCTGTCTGTCTGTCTGTCTGTCTGTCTGTCTGTCTGTCTGTCTGTCTGTCTGTCTGTCTGTCTGTCTGTCTGTCTGTCTGTCTGTCTGTCTGTCTGTCTGTCTGTCTGTCTGTGTCTGTCTGTCTGTCTGTCTGTATGTCTGTCTGTCTGTCTGTCTGTCTGTCTGTCTGTCTATCTGTCTGTCTGTCTGTCTGTCTGTCTGCCTGTCTGTCTGTCTGTCTGTCTGTCTGTCTGTGTCTTGTCTGTCTGTCTGTCTGTCTGTCTGTCTGTCTGTCTGTCTGTCTGTCTGTCTGTCTGTCTGTCTGTCTGTCTGTGTCTGTCTGTCTGTCTGTCTGTCTGTCTGTGTCTGTCTGTCTGTCTGTCTGTCTGTCTGTCTGTATGTCTGTCTGTCTGTCTGTCTGTCTGTCTGTCTGTCTGTCTGTCTGTCTGTCTGTCTGTCTGTGTCTGTCTGTATGTCTGTCTGTCTGTCTGTCTGTCTGTCTGTCTAGTTTTTCGAATGTCTGTCTGTGTCTGTCTGTCTGTCTGTCTGTCTGTCTGTGTCTGTCTGTCTGTCTGTCTGTCTGTCTGTCTGTCTGTCTGTATGTCTGTCTGTCTGTCTGTCTGTCTGTCTGTCTGTCTGTCTGTGTCTGTCTGTCTGTGTCTGTCTGTCTGTCTGTCTGTCTGTCTGTCTGTCTGTCTGTCTGTCTGTCTGTCTGTCTGTCTGTCTGTCTGTCTGTCTGTCTCTCTGTCTCTCTGTCTCTCTGTCTCTCTGTCTGTCTGTCTGTCTGTCTGTCTGTCTGTCTGTCTGTCTGTCTGTCTGTCTGTCTGTGTCTGTCTGTCTGTGTCTGTCTGTCTGTCTGTCTGTCTGTCTGTCTGTCTGTCTGTGTCTGTCTGTCTGTCTGTCTGTCTGTCTGTCTGTCTGTCTGTCTGTCTCTCTGTCTCTCTGTCTCTCTGTCTCTCTGTCTCTCTGTCTGTCTGTCTGTCTGTCTCCAATAGGTGACGTGCGCTTATTCTCTATCGAGAATAGCAGATTTTGCAACAAGAAGACTGCCCACATATCTCACATATCTGAAGAATCAACCCAAGAATCTCAAAATAAATCATTATTAAAAGTAAGTGTGTCCCATATGATGGCAACTTTCTGAAAGACACTGTATATGGCGGATCACTTATTTCTGCATAACCTCATTGACATGGCTATCAAATAAAAGGATGTGAAAAGTAGAATACATTAGGTTGTATCACACTATGTCAAATCCACTATGGCCGCCCGGCACAAAATGGCGTATTACCTATTCCTTTAACAATCTTGACATGGGTATCAAATAAAAGAGTATGACAAGTGGAATACAAGTTGGATGACATCAATTCGAATCCAATATGGCGGTCGACATAAAATGGCGGATTACCCAATTCTTTCTCCCCCCCCCCCTCTTCCTCCTTAATCTTGATATGGGTATCAAACGAAGTTGTTTTATTAGTTCAATAAAATGAGGCAGTTTACCTCATTCTAAATGAACTCGTGAATTGATATGTGGCGGTCGTAAGTGAATTGCTCAGAGAAAATCGTTATTTTAAAATTTTTAGTGCATGTCTCTAACGAATACTCAATTTTTTCAAAAACATTTTCATTATGCTTTTTCCATAACGTGCTCAGGATCGAGATGGTGTTTTGGACACGGAAAACATATTTTGATGTTTCCCTTGTCGCCATGCGGAATGTATTGTTTAAAAATAAAACTCGGTGCGTCACGAAGAGTATTATTATTGGGAGCATAGGTCGATTTGTATTACCTATCAATTGAACCGAATGCCCGAGTGATCTTATTGAACGTTAATTTTTGTTGTTCCTTGTTTCAGGTGAGTCAGCAACTCATCCCGTTCGGATATAGCAGCAACCACCAGTCCACGAATCAGGTAATTTCGAATTGTTTTAATATAAACTGCTACTCAATTGGATCGCTGAAATATTCACTGATATGCTACATTTCGAATAGTCCAAAATGTCATCTGAAAGTCTCATTGTAATATGTACGAGGTCATCCATCGAAATGGCTCACCCATTATTTTTCCATCGAGGAACAAATGATGCCTGTCCATAACCCTTATCAGAAGTTTTATAAGGCGATCCCTAAAAGCGTTTCAAACCATTTTTTTTTTCAATGGAACACCCTGTGTTTTATATTGTTCGGAATCTATGCATTCTTGTGATTACAAATATATATACAGGGTGATATTTTCTAGTCTCGCTTTTTTGTCAACACTCTTTTGAGCCTAGTAAAACAATTTTTGTCTATCACTCGATCAGTTTGGGAATGTATTTTTTCAATCTACAACTGTCAAATATATCCTCATTCATGGCTAACACGATATCTGCAGAAGCCAACACACAAAAATAGTTTTTCTGGGGCCAAAAAAGTGGTGATAATGTAGTGAAAATTATGTATTTCCCTGATCACAAAAAATCACAATTTCCGAAAAAATATAAAAAACAAGGTGTTCAATTTGAAAGAGATTATTCGTGGTTCGTCACGCTTTCAGGGATCCCCATGTAAAACTTTCGATAAGGACTCTGGACTCAACTTCCGCATATTGTTTTTTTCTCGATAAAAAAAAAATAAGTTGAATGTTGGGGTAGAAAACGAACGCATCAGAATCAATATTTTTTCAGTATGCTTTATTTCGCCAGGTTCACGCAGCAGTTCAATTGAGTTGTAGTTTATAATATATAATTGCTTGATTGTTAGTATGGTTTAATATATATTCATTCAGGTCGGTAGTTAAAAAATCTCATAACCTTGAAAAATAACGAAGATGATCCAGTTTTGCTGGTTCACCTTTTGGCTACTCTATTATTTTCCAAATAATTGAGTTTCATCATCAACATAAGGTGTCCGTCTGTTCGACACCAACAAAAAATAATTGAATACTTAAATCTCCTCAAGGGCAGGACAATTTCGCAGTGGAAACTGCATCATCAGCTTTTAGGTATTAAGTTCTCTGTAAATAAGAGAACTTATTTTATGAGAATTATAAGGGAAGGAAAAAAGATTATCAAAATCTGGAATGAGGTTCTTCAATTGCATTGAGTGAGGTACATTTCATACTCAGTCTGTATATTTTCCGTACTCATTAAACTAACAGTGGCGCTTGGGTTCCGGTATTTACCTAATATGTCAAAAGAACCGTCTTTTAATGGAGAATTTTTTTTTGTAAAAATTTTTGAAATCTAGAGTGCTCGTAACCTAACCCAACCAACGTAGGGAGCAAACCCATCGTAGAAATCAAACCCAATGTAGAGAGCTAACCAACGTGGAGAGCTAACCCAACGTAGGAATCAAACCCAACGTTGAGAGCTCACCCAACGTAGAGAGCTAATCCAATGTAGAGATCAACCCAAAAACCAGAGAAAATCTGGAAAAATCTTGATAGATTCTATGAAAATTTGGAAAAATTCTGGAGAAATTCCCGAAGAATCTGGAACAATTCTGGAGAAATCTAGAAAAAATTTCGAAAAATCTTTAAACGTGTGGAAACATATGGAAAATATAGAAAATCTGCAAAATCTGGGAAAAATGGGAAACCTTAAAAAACGCAAAACACTCAGTATCGTCTGGGGTCTGCACGTGTTGACTATACAGTGTCATTCATAAAGTTGGCATCATATTGGAAAAATATTCAATAATTATTTATTTTGAAATTCGATATGGGCCTCAGTTTTGCTTCAAGAAAGATGGAAAATGACCTTTTCAAATAAGTTCACCAATCCTGCGCGTCTTCGAAATATGTGATATACCCGAAGCGTAGAGTTGTTCCAGTTGTCAGCAGACCGAGATCGACTGATGAGGCCTGGTGGGCCGAAACAGTACTGCCTCGCTCCTGCTGACAATTGGGGCAACTCTGTTCATCCTATAGGTCTCTTAGTTGTGAGATCTGGAGTTCAATTTATAGGGTGATTAGGGGTGTTTCGTAGGTGAGAGTCGTTAACCCCAACGGGGTTGTTTCGTCTATAAAACTCTTCTTCTTTTCTTTGGCAGCGTTCCGGCCAGAGACCGTTGGTCGATAGCACCGGTTGTCGGTAGGGGAAAGAGGGGAAATTTAGCCGGGCGAAGCTATATGCGGGAAAACGGCCGATTCCGCACTGCACCTTCGGAAAATACGCGAAAGCTGCGGCAAGCCTCAAAAACCGGCACGAGGTTGACGTATTTTCATGAATGAATGAATAGTTTGAGACATGTTTCGACCATTCGAATGTTGATCATTAGTCATCAGTCGAAAGACAGGATGAAGTAACTTTTCTATTGTGGATTCGTTGTATGTCTTCCTGGCTGATGATGACTATTCGAATGGTCGAAACATGCCTCAATCCTTGTTGAAATTGGAATAACTGAATTGAACTTCTAGATCATCTTTTCTTGACTATTTCACACCTAAAATGTTCGACCAATGAAAGGCTGTATTTTGTATCGTTACAGCAACTATTTTTTTTTCCTCGGGTGAAGGAGCTTGAAATTACACTCTACAGAGTGTTGATTAATTGAGAGGCGGATAATACAAGATGTGAATCCTCGAGTGATTTCAGTTTATATCAACATACGTCCTGAACCTCTCAGTTTTTGAGATATAGGGTGTTGAAATTGCAAGAAATTAGAGAGTTATTTGTCATAATTTCTTATCAGTCTCAGATATTTTCATGAAATTTTGTACTCACCTTTCCATCATTGAGGAGCATTTTTTGAAGTGAAAGATTTTTCGAAATGTTCACCAGTGACATCCGTACGGGGTTTGAACTGACAATTTTTGAAGAAAAAAATTGTAAGCCACTGATTTTGCTAAAAACCAAAATTGTTTTTTAATTCACCATTTATTTTGGAGCCAATTTGGTACCTTCTTTGATACTATGTATCGATTTCGCGTAAAAAATAAAAAAAAAACTCTTTTCCCTCCTTCCTAAAAATATTTCGGTGTGAAATTTTCATACCGAATACCACTCCAGCTTCAATTGAAAAACGACAATATTTTCCCGAGCACGGATAATTAAAAAACTCGTGATCTCGAAAAAGTTGTAGACAATAAGTGAAGCATTAGTTGTATTATATTATAAGTTGAAATTCTGCCACTCGTCCTGCGAATTCGTGGTATTAGTAAGCAATTGGATCTCGTTGATTTGTGACAGAAATACTATCGATAGTATTGCGATCATCTCACTCCACTGTGAGTATGAGCAGACCGAGAGCGACTGATGATGCATGTTGGGCCGAAACAGCACTGCTTTGCTGACTATAATTGTGGCAAATCTATTCATCCTGATGGATCTTTTAGTTATGAGATCCATTTCTTCGAATACCGATATATTATGAATTGTATTTCTTGGCGTAACTACCTTACTCGTTGACCTTTCGAGAACTTATTCTAATACGGAAAATCTTGAGCAACGTATCAAATCAATTCGAGGGTAGCCATTCCAATCATTCTGTCATAATAATCACTACGTGTCCATTCATTGTACGTACATACAATGAATTTCGTTTTGCAATAACGAGCATTCCATCTGTATTGTACGAGACAATAGCTAAATAGTGGTCGATCACTTGATATTTTTTTCTTGTTCGATACTTTTTGCATGTCATGCGTTTCGATTTTTTTTCTCTCCTTCGTGATCACGGATTGGCAATGTGACATTGAAGACTATTCAATTCCTGTTTACGGTACGATTCTATAACCATATTTAAAAATTAATTCGTGTAATTTGTGTTGTATGTACATAGCAGATGTGGAAAAATAACGTTACAAGAAAGATACCTCGATGATATGAAATAAGCATCAGTTGTCTCTATTCTAATATGTTCCAGAAATAGGATTACATCGAAAGATTTATTACCTTTCTTTTTTGAAATAACTAACGTTAATATTTGTGAAAAAATGTTCCTCAAGATCTATCAAAATTTGGAGATTTCTCAGGGGTGGACAGTCCTTGAGGTAGACACACTGTATAATAATATGAAGGAAATACGAATCTGGCCAACTGGTTTTCATTTTCCGTATAATGACGCTACAAAAACATACCCCATACCCGACATTCTATACCTTCGTGAAACCTCTTGAAGTTTCAGCACCCCGTGCATCCCCCTGGGGTGTGTTGCACAAGGTCTTCATCCCCCGCCTCTCTGAATCCCTTCAGACCAGAGTCGGGCTCCAAAGATTTCATCCCGTCTATTGAATATCAATATCAATGGTCTACACTGAACTACAAGTGAAAACTCCCCGATAAATATTCGGCGGTGCGCCTATGTTTCAACTACCCCTGGACACCCCCACCCTCTCGTTTATACCTACCCTCGTCAGTATGCGTTCGACTTGTCGGACATTTATCCAAAGTTTTGTATATAAGTGTGTAATAATGTATAGTGTTTTGTATATTATGTCGAAATGATGTGCGGTCCAAGGGTTGAATGTTTGTTTTTGTAACGGTCGTCTATTTCATAATGATGGAGGTTGTTTTGTTTCATGTGTTCGTTAAAATTCGGGGTGGTTTAGTTGAATTATTGAACATGTGCTGATTCGGAAATATCCTGTCGTCCATACTACGTCATTTTCAGATTGATTGCTGGATTTAGTTGTCTGTTACACTATGGTTAGTTCTTTTTAGTGCTGCGAAATAAATATACACGAGAAAAATAGGATTTTTTCCATCAACGAATTAATTGTTTGGATCATTTATATCGGGTTAAGCAACATATTTGTAGAATTGAACAGAAACCATGATCATTTCAAAGAGGCAGCTCGTTTGAATCAAGAATATAGTTCGGTGGAATAAACAGTAAACAAATTTTGGTAATTCAACGATATACATTTTGTAGATTTGATGAAATAATGATCATATTGATATGAAGCAATTAACTAGTTTCGAATGGATCGTTAAATCAACATCAAGTTACATTTTTGCCACTAGATGGCGATCTTTTGGCCTCGTCTATACGTGCCTCGAATCCATTATACATAAAGCCTGATTGTTCGTTTTTGAAATATCAGCTGGATTAATCGATCTTAAGAGAGAGATGCTTAGCAAGCCGAAAATATTCTTATATCAGTTAAAGAAGTTCACTAGTTATTCTAGTGGACATATTTCATTGAATCAATATCTTGTCATTTTGAATCAATCAAAAAATTGTTTGGGTCAATTCAATATCTATTTCAACACAATTCATAGATGTGTTTGATTGAATGTAATCCAGAGTTGATCAGGTCAGCACAACATATATATATATAGGGCTTTTCTCTTATTTTTTGAACGGGTTTACTGGAAAAATTTCAAGTTGACTGGAAAAAAATTGAAGGAAAGGTGGGGTCTTGTGATGCATGCTTTTGAAGTTCCTAACGAATACTTCACAACCCTAGAATATGAAGGCAATATCTTCACATTCTACAAAATGGTGGAACATTTAATAATTGCCTGAATACATCTACGTTTACTTCATTGTTTGAGGAAATAAGCTGGGTTCAGTTCAGAAGATGTCCGAAATGTTTTCTTATAAGTTCCTCAAGTCCTTTTTGTGACTGGTGTTTATCATTGGTTGTATTTCATCAGTTGCCAGTATTCCCTGGTTTCAAGTTATACATTTGTGGTGTCAGGTGTGGGATAAAGAATCCTGTATGAAAAATACCGACAACTCCTGTTATTTTGTCTCAATATTAGATAAACACTGACTCACTTTTCGACCGCCATCTGTACTTGATGGATTTGGGAACAAAATAGTTTTTGACCGAAGTAACCGTCTGGCGTAAAAATCTCAATGTTCGCTTCAACCCCGCTCGATTACCCTAGGGAACGGGATGATGCAGCATGTTCTCCAACCCGCCTCCCTATATCCCCAGATTGAAGATGACTAGTGAATGAAGGGACACAAGCCCCATAAATGATTCTTTACTCAGTAGGGGGGCGGTGGTATCGAATATCCGACGTTTCGGATTGCATAAACTCATCCATCTTCAACTGTACGTATCGAAATATTTCTAGTATGTTTTTGGTCAATGTTTTTAGGTTAGCTTATGTTAGTTCTCCCGTGTTCAAGCAGCGCTTTTCACTTTTCTCAGAGGTTTTCCAGACGCCAATTTGCGTTTGTCGCTTGGCGAAGTTTACTTTAACGCTCGAGATAATTCATTATGGCTTGAAAAATGTATTACTTGCTAAATTGAGGCGTCGAGGCAGTAAATGAAGTGCTCAAGACTTTTCCATTTTTACTTGTAATTGGTGAGTTTTAATTCACGGGTCGTGAAACATCTCTATAACTACTCTTCATGGAGCTTTTATTCATCGATCTGTGTCGGATTTATAGCGAAAGTTTCTATGAGCGAGTAGACGACTATACTTTCCCTGCGACTAATACGGAGGAGGGAGGAGGTTCTATTTCAGCTTTAATAACGCCAGGATGTGTATACTGACTGATACATCAACGTAGTAGAGGAAAAAGTGCTTATCACCATTTATGTTTGTCCTTTAAAAATAAACTGACCCTGTGCAAGGTTTTTCTCGTTAATTATCATTCAATGCTGTATTTGGGTTATCGATATTCAATAATTGTTCAAGATAACCTGGAAATACATCGAGATTGGTTTATAATTAGTCGATAGTTTTTTTTTTCAATTACCAAACAATTCCGTAGTGGGTAATTTAACATAAGAATTCATTACACATCGGTTTTGTAGATACGGAATGTGTGATTAACTTACAACTATTTATATAGAACGTTCACTATGTAATCAAGACCATTGTTTTACCATAATGATTCATGCTAATACCCAATTATAAAACATAGATTATTCCTCAATCAATTATTGATGTAATAGAAGACAATAGTCGAGGTTTAGGTTTGTATTTTTCGGGCATAAAAATTCATCAAGGTGATGCCCGAAAAATAATGAGTCACAGTGTAGGCGGTAATCAAATGAAAATTAACTCGGTTTCATTCGATCTCATTTCTATCTAATAGCCCTTTTCCTCAGAAATCTCGGAACCTTTCGGCGTCCATGTTTACTCGAGAAAACCCAATTTATCGAGACTGTACGTTAATTGAATCCGGCCGCCATCTTGGATCCCTAAAGTAAATAATATCGGGAGCGTAACTTCTGAATCCGTAACGGGATTGAATTAATCGGGTATACGGTATTATACAAGATGTGAGTAAAAAGTAGCTTCAAACACGGAAAAAAATGAGTCGTACATATACGAAACCAAACTAATAAAAGTATCATAAATATATGCACGATGAGATTTGTCTTGAAATGAGTAAAACTATTTCTCATTTATGAGGGAATTATTTTACAAAATGTATGTTCCCTCGAGCGAGTAGGTGTGTTATATCTATTTTGGCCCATATAAGAAATATTTCCTAGTTTGAAATCAGTATCTAATATGAACTAAACACATGATTTACTTGATTCACCAACAAAATTTGTTGCGTGCCTTTATATTGTCTCTCAAATTGAAAAAAGTGATTTTCAATCAAATTATCTTTTGTTCCAGATTGCACCGGCAGCAAAAAAATTATGGGGCTTCGAAACCAAGGACGCTACCAGTAAATTGGCCCTCAATCATGAAGGGGTGTGGAGAGACCCCACGTGGGCAGCTCCAGGTAAGCGAAAATTTACAAAAAATCTTCAATCATGTGAAATGTATGTTCCATCGAACGAGTAGGTCTGTTATTTCTATCTTGTCCATATAGAAATAACGATTGGTGGTAATATGTTCTTGCAGACGTGCAACCAAATTACCTCGTGTTTGACCTATGTGCTGCGTTTTTCCTTCGTGAATCAGTGAAAACGATCATGAATGTGGAGGGAATTGAAAAAAAACTCCCTGGCTTTTTTTACGGGATGGGATTTGTTTCTTGTGCTTTCAGGCGATTCGCCTTTTTTCGTATTCGTATATCTATCGAGATTCGTTTGCCGGAAAAGGAAGTAGAAACGATCGAGGATGACCGGAAATGGGAATGGCAGGGGATGGTTTCGATTGCTCGGCAACGTGACGTAAAGGCACATGATATATAGAAACTATGATATACAGCGTGTCCTTTATTCCAATACCCCTCGGAGCAATGGGAAATTTTCGAAAAAAAAATTGTTCCTGCATCATATCGTTTAACGAAATCTATCTTCAGAATTACTATTTTATACAAAATAATAAATTTGAGAAGAATTATTGTGGCATAGCATTTATGCGGGATCAAAAGGACTTCGAAATAGAAACCAATTTGGTCCGGTCAAATCTAGTGTCAAATAATCAACCAGGTACCACTTTTGACATGAATTTTTTCAAATTCCACCCCATTTTCTAGATAAGTTCAATAATTTCTGAAAAACAGTTTTGTTTCTATCACAAAATCAAAGAATTTTTATCAAGTATCAAACATTTATTAGAGGGATTTTACAAAATTCAAGTAGGAAAAAAATCACGATGATCAAAGAAGATTTGAATTAATAAAAAAAAACGAAAATAATCGAGAATTTGTCTTTTTGTTTTTTCCTAGGGAACTCATAGTTATGATTTTTTTATTTGGCGGAGAAGAATTGGACGTTTTTAAATGTGCCATAATATTGGTATGTTTCTAGGAAAACATAATCTAATGACGTCATTAATATGAAAAAAAAAATCGACTTGAAGTGGACCGTTTTAGCCTTTCCTCCTAATAGGGCTTGAATATGCAGTTTCTGCCTCCCTGTACATACGTACAGGTCTAGTTTTATTAATGTGTACCCTTCTTTATCTTTTTTGTTTTCCACTCATTCAAAAAAATTTAAAACTGATTGTATATAAGTATTTTTCATACAGGTTCCAATCATTGTGACAGTGTTGCAATATATCTTTGAATATACAGGGTATACAGAAATACCCATATGTATTTTTTATATTTCCACAGATATTAATCCATTATATCATATATTATTTGAAATAAGGATGAATTGAGGAATTCAAATCTATCAAAATATTCGGCGCATTCCATTTGAAGAATATACATATTTCTGCATACCCTGTATATTTGAATAGATATTGCATCATATTCAATATGAGTTGAATCTGTACGGAAAATTGTATAAAATCAGCATTCAATTTTTTTGAATGAGTGGATAACAAAAAAGATAAAGGTGGGTTCACATTAATAAAACTAGCCCTGTACATGAATTGTCCTCTCAATTTTGAATTTCACCTCAAACGTGAAGTGGTGTTTTTTTTTTTTTTTTTCATTAAGATATTCCAAATACTGAGCAACAATGTTTTGACTGCAATAGTCACCTATATTAAATCATCCACTAAGATATTTCCGCTATAAGAATGTAATATCGTTACGTTTTCGAGATGTATCACACCGGAGGTTGAAAACAATTCGGCAAATAATATAATTTCGAATTCGCATTTTTTTCTGGTTTTCGCTGATTTTCCCGTAAATTTGGCAAGCCGGCACGTCGCTAGCCCGAAAGCGGGAGTCGCCCGGGTAACAGACGCTGGCGACGTACCCATGGAGACGGCGTCGAGGCCCGGCACGCCCAGCTCTCCCCCTATACAGGGTGTGTCACGTTTCGTCGGGACAGAATCATCTGAAGAAAAAACAAACTTACCAAATATTTCGTTCATTTTCAGTTTCAGTGTTGTTACATGATCACAAGGGACATGTTTCGGTCTTATAAAAGACCATCTTCAGCCTAATTGAAAGTTTTGGAGCTGAAAAAATTTTTTGATGCTGCTATTTGTGGAATTTTTGTCAATGCCCATAGTCGAGAAAACAAATTATCAATGAAAAAACGGGTTCTCAAGAATGTTCATTTTATTCAACAATCTCCATTATTCTTCTACTGTCTGAACCGATTTTGAAATAACTGTACTGTCTATAGAATTCGAATAAATAAAAACGTTATTTTATACTGGGCACTATTTGAAAAAAGTAGGCTAATAATCAAAGTTGATCTCAATTTATAAAACAGATTGATGTTTATCTAGATTTTCTAGCAAAGATTAACGTTTCTGTTTGATCTCTTCAATGGTTCCTTTGTTTCAATTCACAATTCAGTTACATTTTTCCAAGTACTGTTTTATGTCAACTCTTTCTTTACGAGAATCTAAAACAAATTAACTGATTTTAGTGGAATTATCAGATTCATCTATGTTATATTATGGTCATAATATAATAAACACGAGCACAAATGACATGGACAAGGGTTACACTTGCTCACAACTCGGCTGCCAGCCGAGTACTATATGAACCAGTCTTCCCACACGTCTGTCATAGGCTCTGATCTAAGCACATTCCACTGAGCAGTAGCGCATCTAGTTGCTAGATGCTAACAATCTACTATAAATGTGAAAATTAAAAATCCATTAAAAAGTTCCTGTTTGACCTTATTTTATTGAACATGTCTGATGTGTGCCATTCGAATTGAAAAGCGTATGCCTGATCTGACAAATTTTTTCTTTGAAATTGACCACAAGGCACAAAGTAAACTTCTTGGTCAACTTTGTTAACATAAAAATGAAAAATAAGTTTTCTCTGGCCGGCCCTGGATTTTTTCACATAGTAGGACGTCTCAGATAGTCTCAATTGAGATAGATGATGATTCATGTCGGTCTTCAAAGTTTCATAATTTCCTGTTTCATTATTAATTATTGTAGACGGCTAAAAAAAATCATCGTATACCTAATGGCAATGTGGCAATCCTCATGTATCACTCTGTATAGTATACAAATTCTTCAATGCGAGCAAATTTCGGATGTTTTTGGTCGATCTTATACTATCCTCAGGAGAGAATTTCTGAAAATTGAGTTTCATTAAGAACATTTTACATCATTTCTCTCGAAAAACTGATATTATACAAAATTGCTCGAACGGTCTTGCAATGTTTTCATGTCAATTTTTCTCGTAAAATTACTGATGGGCAGGGTTGGAATAAGTCATGACTTTTATAAAAAAGTCATCAAAGTCCGACTTTTTGAATTAAGTCAGACTTTTTTGAATTAATTCATTTGAAAAAAAAAAACAAACAAATTTCATTTACCCAAAGCGAAATAGAAAAAAAGAAACAAAAAAACTATGTTTTTATTCCCTTCAGAAATCTTGTAGAATAACATCATGATATAACATGTCATTTTTTGAAAACAAAATTAAAAGTGATGATAGCATACAAAATAATAGCTACATATAGATCCAGTATCATCCATAAAGTTCGTAACACATGGAGAAAAAGTTTATTAGTAGAATATCGAAACATTTTTTCTCGGGGATCTATTATGCATGTCTGACTACTTAAAAACACATGTCACTTGATCACTGGTATGGGGGTAAATTCAAAAAATTACCATGGCAGAAAGTGGGGTTAGATGGGAAGATGAAGTTATTTAAATAAATAAAAATAGCTATTATCAGTTTTCTCAAATAATGGCTGGAAACTCCATATGTGAGCATGAAATTGAATTCTATTCAACTTGTATGTACATCATCAACATCACGACTGTCAGAAAAAAAAGAGAATTGTAACAAAATTGAAGAATATTCGAAAAAATATAGCTATTTCCAATTCTCCTCCAAAAATTGCTCGAAACTGAATGTGTAATAGCAACCTAATGAGAAATGTTTATGGATATTTTGTTATCTAACCCCACTTTTCGTTGCGTTATAGTATTATTTTTATTTATCACCATACCAGTGATCACGTGACATGTGTCAAAATCGATTCTCAAGTTATCGGATGAATGCATAATGCTGTGACCTGTTCTCATATGTTATGGACTTTATGGATGATACTTGATACTGTATATATTTGTTAGTAAATATCTTTGTCGTGCTTGAAATAACAAAGTGTTGCCAAAATACGATCAAATTTTTCAGTTTAAACTAGTTAAAATCAAAGGTAATAGTGCAATTCTTCATCACATTTTTAAAAATTTTAATGAATTCATGACTTTTTCGAAAAAAGTCAATGGAATTAATTCACGAATTAAATCACTGATTTAATTCATATGAATTAATTCATGCCAACCCGGCTGATGGGCAAATGTTTTTCGTTACCAAGAGAAATTATCCGATAAAAAAAAGCTCTCGTGTTTGTACTGTTGATAAAAAAAAAGCTCTTGTTACCGGAAAACATTATGCATTTTTCGAGGCATTTTTACTCTGAACGTTTCTATATTAAACACGTCAACCACCCACCCCGATTTTCCTTTCTTTTCGTCCCCACTCTTCTGCCTGCTTTTTCTGCTAAAAAAGAAAACCGCATATATACACGATATCGTGAAAAATCTCGAGGAGACCGGGAAATCGTTTCGCTCGCAAAAAAGGCCGATAAAAAGTGGCGACGAGAAAAAGAAGAGAGGGTGGTGGGGTGGAGGGAAAATTAATTGCCCACTTCGATGGGTGTGAAAGTGACGTTGTTGTTTCTCTCTAAGGGTGTCTGACTAATTGAAATTACGGTTCCCATTCGGAACGTTGAATAAGAAAAAAGAGTTCTAGTATTTATAATGAAAATATACAGAGTGATAATGGTTTTTTTTTGTGACGTCAAACAATATGTTTTCTATACAAGGCGCTAAAATGTTCGGGAAATTTTCTATAATTGATTTAGAAAAATCTAGAAATGTTTCTTGATTGTCCAGAAAAATAACTCGGTTCCAAATTCATTTGTGGTGTTACATCCAAGACTGATGAGGATAGATTTTAATGGCAAATTCATTACTTTGAAAATGTTTTCGACAACGAATTTTTGACAAATGAAAACTTTTGGTACGCGTCATAAAGATTCATCTGCCTATAGAAAAATAGGAATTTTTGAGTAGTGTCCAATTCGGTGTAATTATAGCTATACAAAAAAATCGGCCGGTATATAAGACTGTAGTTCTTATTTCGATTTTTTATATTTCGATTCGAAAAACTTCTTCGCAAAATTTCCCCAGGCCCATACCCAGTTGTGTACGGCGTACACACAGGGTGGTGTGGTAAAAAAAATGATATAGAATGTCATAGAGATGTCTAACATGAAATAATTTCTCAGTATTTGATATAATTTTCAAGGTAGTTTCACAAGGGCCATAGTTCTGTTGTGTACACTCAGGGCGGCTTGTGAACGAAAACACATTTTCATCCATTAATAGATAAATCAGTGTTTTGATTTTCCGGAATACATAATATGCAAACTAGATGCTGGAAGAACACGTTAAAGATCGTTCGATTCGAAAAATTTTGTTGCAAAGTTTCACAAGGCTCATACTGTGTACACTCAGGGCAGTTTCGTGAACAAATCCACTGTACAGGATGATTGTTTAATTTTTATTCAATAGCCATCAGTTAATATTGGTCTTACAGAAAAGTTCAAATGGCCAAAAATGATATACTCTCATTGGCATTCAGAATATAGTAGTAGAAAATGCATGAAAGCCTAAAATTTCTACATGAACTTTTTTGTTTTTAATGTGACACCCTTTATTTCATTGAGGTAATTTTTTGTCAGTTTTTGAAAAATATAGATTTTTTTGGTATAGATCTAAGCGAGGGGTAAACCGCAGTGAAATTCTGGTGTACAAACAACTGGAATTCCTTGGAATTCATTGGAATTTCGTGGATTTCCTTGGACTTCCTTGGAATTCCTTGGGTGAAATGCGGTATATGGTTCCTGGGATACAAACAACTGGAATTCCTTGGAATTTCTTGGAATTCCTTCGATTCCCTTAGAATTCCTTGGAATTCCTAGGATTTCCTTTGAATTCTTTGGATCTCCTTGGAATTCTGTGAAGTGCGGTATAATTCTGGTGTACAAACAACTGGAATTCCTAGGAATTCCTGGGATTTTCTTAGAATTCCTTGGATTTCAGTGGATTTCCTTGGAATTCCTTAGATTTCCTTGGAATTCCTTGAAATTCCTAGGAATTTCCTGGAATTCCTTGGATTTCCTTGGAATTCTTCAAGAGGAGTGCGATATAATGTATAATTATTCTGGTGTACAAACAACTGGAATTTCCTTTGATTTCCTTGGAATTCCTTGTGAAATTGAAGTTTGATGTACACAATTTTGACCGCGGTCCCTCGGATCTAAGGCAGGTGTATAACGCCAGACGACAATGCTGCGATCTCGGGTGTTCTACAGCGGCCTTAGAGTCTATATTTCATAAAAACTGACAAAGATAACTTCGAATAACTGTGTATTTGAAATGGTTAAAAAAAAATACTAGGTGGGCTATTAAAAAATACCAGTTTACGTAAATATTTCAGGTTTACAATGCTTCCCTGCATTTTCTAAAATTCTTCATTTTTGCCCAGTTGAACATACGTGAGTCCAATATCAACCGAGATAGCTATCGGATGAAATATGAAAAATCAGCCTGTACACTCAGGGCGGTTTCGTGAACAAATCCCCTAGCCCTATAAGCACGTCTGTGGCATGCAGCTGAACCGTTTCTTTCTTTCTTGTTCCAGAACACAACGTGTCCGCCTCGCTGGCGATGGGCAGACGACCTGGCGGCGGCGTGGGCGGCGGCCCGTTCACCGCGGGCGGCAACGGCGACCCGACGGGCGGCGGCATCCTATCGCCCCGCGGCAGCGACAACGGCGGTCTCGGCGTCAAAATGGTCGAGTACGTGTTGGGCACGTCGCCCACCGGCAAGGATAGCGGGGGCGGCAGCGGGGGCGGCTTGGAGCCGCGAATGCGCGCGCTACACCTGCCCGACGACAAGGAGTCGAAGGAGATGGGCAAGCAGCCGGCGTCGCAGGGCAGTCCGTCGAACAAGGAAGAGTGTAACGGGGGCGGAGGAGGCGGCAGTGGGGGTGGGAGTGGGGGCGGCGGGGGGCAACAGGTGGTCGTGCAGAACGGGCAGGTGGGCGGGCCGGACGAAGACAAGGGCGGATTCAAGTGAGTAGCGTGTGATTTGGTTGGGTTTTTTTTCTTTTTGAATGTCTTCGAAGGGTGAGGTATGATTTTTCGGAGGGTTTTGATTAGGGCTGCGCGATATTGGATTTCAGTTATCGGTTATCGATAAGTTGAAATTTATCGATAAGTTCGATACATCGATATTTATCGATATATCGATATTCGATATATCGGACTTATCGATATTTATCGATATATCGGACTTATCGTTATTTACCGATATATCGATATATGTAGTTCAAAAAATATCTTGCCATCATATAGCTTTATTGACATATACCTACTCATTAGAAACGTGATGCGAATAGTATGCGGTTTGTTTTTGCTGAATCTCAGTAATTTGAAGTTTGGCCATTTCGGATTATTTAGAAGAAAACATAATGAATTGTTTGATACATCAAATCAATTCAAAATTTTGAGATAGAGGATAAGGATCAAAAACACTTTTCATTATACGAGCCCTGTCTCAGTGAAGTTGGCTCAAACTAGAGTTCCTGAATGTATCTGACTCAGATACATTGAGGAACTCTAGCCTAGGGCTGCGCGATATTGGATTTCAGTTATCGGTTATCGATAAGTTGAAATTTATCGATAAGTTCGATATATCGATATTTATCGATACATCGATAATTATCGATATTTATCGATATTTTTGATATTTATCGATATTTATCGATATTTATCGATATTTATCGATATTTATCGATATTTATCGATATTTATCGATATTTATCGATATATCGATATTCATCGATATATCGATATTTATCGATTTATCGATAGTTATCGATATATCGATATATCGATATTTAAAAACTTGAATATCGTTATTCGATATATCGATATATTTATCGATATATCGATATTTTTTCCCAGCCCTAGTTTTGATTTTTGTTCAAATGGAGCGATTGTTTTAATGATCTAACTCAGACTTGGAAAAATTATCAAAAGGTTTTTTCAACAATTTTTTTTTCTTGAGCTCTAATAGCATTCTTACGCAAGGTATACAGAGTGTCTGTAAAAGGTTGGGCTCGGCTGTGTACTCCTGGGATAAAAACAAGTTGATTTAGGCCAACTCACCTATATTCAAAATCGTCTCGTTGAATTGGTACAAGACGTTGAAGTTTTTTTTTTTCTAATTATTTTGCTCATAAAAAGAGTAGGCTGAGATCGATTTTCATAGTTTTTGGCATGGCATGTTCTGTGACTGTAAGTCACGTTTTGAGATGTTTTTGATCATCATCAGTGACCTGCAAGTGTTTCAAACAACCATGTTGCCGTACAAATTTGGTGAAAACTTTTCAGAGGCCAGACTGGAAACTTTCAGTTTTTTTTTCCATAAAGATATTCCCTTCATTAAATATTATTTATATACAGAATGATCAATATACTAGTGTGTACAATCTTATTACACATTATTCCAAACATTTTTCATACTTCAACGTCCGGTACCCTTACGAGGGGAGTGTATCAATGGGATTTGTAGTTTCAGCTATATTTGGTTAGACTGATTCATGCATATACGCATTGGTATCTATGTATATATCGCATATCATTGACACTATTGGCAGTGTTATCAACCTAGGTGAAATTTTTTTATCAAATTATCATTATTTACCTAGGTTTGAATCTTGTTACTTCACATAAGAGGAAATCCTCGAATAATGGTGATTCCTCAGGTCAGTGGTGGAATTTCAACGATATTTCCGAGAGTGTTTCACTATCAAATCTTGTCAATTTCTGTAGATTAGTCATCGAGGTTTCCTCACAATCGATTCGATTTCCCAATAGATTCGTCGTCATTCGGCACGGAATCAATTTTCGTTCCGTCAAAGTCGAGAGAAACGTGGAATTTTCCTTTCTCGATCGAGACGTTTCCACGATAATTTCCAAGACAAACAAGCGCTTCGAAGGCTTCGATTTGTCTTGTGCCTCGAGTGTGTGCGATCCGAGGATGTACGTGGAAAATAAAAAGTGTTTAATTCTGTTCGGTTTTTCCTTGTCCAGGGTAGACGAAATTCGATAAAAGATCATGGAAGACTATTGAAAACTTTTCGCATTCAAGATTTAACATTTAAACATTTGAGACTTGAGAGTCTCAAGTGGATTCAGTTTTGAAAAAAATTGAGATTCTAAGGCAATACATGTCTTCTGTCATTACTGAAATCTAGTTTCTGATGCAGAACCAGATTTTCAAAGTTGAGTTAGTTAGAAACTAATGTGAAAATTTGGGAGTTGCCACAATCTTCAAAATAGTTTAGCCGGATAGCGCTTATCAACAATAGTGAACTCCCAAATTTTCAAATTCTGCCCACCAATGGTTTTCTATATATTGATCGATGCAGTTCCCCGAGGGGAAAATGAAAATTTTTATTTGGCTTATTAATAATCTGAAAAAATCCACATAGACTGATTCGATGTCGTTATAAACGAATCTGTGGTGGAAATTGGGAAATTTTGGAAGATGTAGACGTAGTAGCCTACCGGAGTACTCCTATTGGCAATAAAAGCGAATAGCTGACTTTGAGCGCCGATATCTCAAAAACTATCTGTTCTATCGGGCTGATCATGGTCTCATTCGATTCAGCGTGTCATTTTCTACTGGAAAAGCGATGATTCGCGTGGATTTCCGCCGTTTTCTGGCACTTTCGGCCGTCCGAAATGGCTCGGTGACAAAATCGTATGAAAGTCTTAGGTGGGAAAATGAATATTTTTATTTGGCTTATTAAAAATCTGAAAAAAATCACATAGACTAATTCGATGTCGTAATGAACGAATCTGTGGTGGAAATCGGGAAATTTCGGAAAATGTAGACGTAGTAGCCTACCGGATTGCTCCTATTGGCATTAAAATCGGAAAGCGGCCTTTGAGCGCCGATATCTCGGAAACTATCTGTCCCTTCGGGCTGATCATGGTCTCATTCGATTTAGCGTGTCATTTTCTACAGGAAAAGCGATAATTCGCGTGGATTTCGGCCGTTTTCTGGCACTTTCGGCCGTCCGAAGATGGCTCGGTGACTATATCGTACTGAAGTCAGGTGGGAAAATGAAAATTTTTATTTGGCTCATTAAAAATCTGAAAAAATTCACATAGACTAATTCGATGTTGTAATAAACGAATATGTGGTGGAAATCGGGAAATTCTGGAAAATGTAGACGTAGTAGCAGTAGCCTACCGGAGTGCTCCTATTGGCAATAAAAGCAGAAAGCTGCTTTTGAGCGCCGATATCTCGAAAACTATCTGTCCCATCGGGCTGATCATGGTCTCATTCGATTCAGCGTGTCATTTTCTACTGGAAAAGCGATAATTCGCGTGGATTTCGGCCGTTTTCTGGCACTTTCGGCCGTCCGAAGATGGCTTGGTGACTATATCGTAGGTACTGAAGTCAGGTGGAAAAATGAAAATTTTTATGTTACTTCATCTCTGGATCATCCTGTATAGCTGATATGTTGGACATGTGACTCACCCCTTAGTTTATTATCCTAGCGTAGATAACCAATGTCGCATAGTTCGCTAATTATTGAACTCGATCACCATGTTTTTGTCCTCGAAACAATGTCGGTATTATGTGGATAAGTAAAGTCGGCTGTGCTGGTATCAGCCTTCTAGACTAGATTTTCTCTATTGCTCGGGATATTGTCGCCCGAGGACTGAGATACGATAAGGAGCGATTAGGAAGCAGCTGAGTAAACAAACACTCTGTATTGTTGGTCGCGTTACATTACAAAGCCCAGTTTTCTTATCGTCCATCGGTGAAACGGAAAGTTGCGACATTCTACGAAAATATATTATTCCCACAACAGAATAATTTGTTTCTCATGCAATACACCATACAGCGATAACCCACTGTATGTGAGATAGCATCTAGGAAATGATAATACTGCCATGCAAATCCGTCTCCTAATCTTTGGCTATTTGTGTTACTGTCAAGGCGAGGTGATTATGAATAAACAGGCGTTTGAAAAATAAATATTTTTCTAGACAAACCTTTATAAAAATGCACTACACACATAGACACCTTGAATAAAAGCTTGTAATTGTAAAAATATCTGACAAAAAACTCGTTCGCCATATTGGATCCGCCATTTTGAATTCTCCAATTTTGACGGAAGAATCATAATCTCCAACACTGGATACCCCCATATATCAATTTTGAATGGAATCGGATCATAATTACAAAACTCTTTCGCCATATTGGATCCGCCATCTTGAATTTCCCAATTTTTACCAAAGAATCATAATCTCCGCCACCGAATACTCCCAGATACTAATGTTGAATAGAATCGTATCATAATTACAAAGCTCATCTGCCATTTTGGAGCCGCCATTTTGCTTTTTTCTCTAACAAAAAATTAGAAGTGTGTCATATTCAACTTGCAAGATTTGATTACAGACAGACACACAGACACCGGGACAGGTGAAAGTGAATAAGAGCTTTCAAAATTGAACAAATTCTATGAAAACATACCTATCCAGTATTCTGACTGTGACTCAAAATTCGATAATTATCTTCCTAGTTTTTGATTTGAAAGAAGATTAGTTTAGAATATTCAACAGTGATATTGAGTTTTGACGACTCGACAGAATGTTAGTTTTTGAAAACAGAAAATAAAAACGTTCTCACACGAAAAGTAGAAATCCAACGAAATTTCAGTACTTGGGATGTCGAAAGAAAGTTAATTCTAGGAAGTGAAAATTAAAATCAATAGGACAGCAGTTCACACTTCGAGTTCGAAGCTCCCAAACTTGAATGTTCTCGAAAATTATCAGAAAATCAGCTCTTTAAAATCAACAGGAATTCAGTTTTCCGAAAGTTATTTTCAAAAAACAAAAAACAAATTTTCAGCACTAGAAAATGTGGTTAAAGGCAGAAGTAGTTTATTTCGGTCC